CGCCCCCCCCCCCCGCCCCCCGAATGTTGATCTACCCCAACGAAGGTAAACATGGCGTTGTTGCAGGTTTCAACATGCGCAAGCCTTCACCCTTCAAAAGTTTACCACAATTTGTAACGAAGCGACCGTTCGCAGCTGCATGTGCTCTCGGCGCGCGTTTTGTGTGTCACTCACAATGTCAACCTTGACGCACACACACATAGAAATATTGTTTTGAGGGTTTTTAACCAACTGCGGCCTGTCCCCGCCCCTGACCAACCAGACTTTCAACGAGCTCTCCGCGAGAGAGAGCATCGACCCGGGAGACCTGCTTCCCCTTCAAACCAAGCTCGAGGAGCTCGAGTCCGCTCTCATCGACCTGGAGATGTACGAGGTCAGACCCAGCTTCAGGCAAAAACCTTCGTTTCGAAGGACCGTAGACTACTACTCCGGTTGGTCAACGCCGCCACCACCGCGGTATCAGAAAAAAAACGGCAGCGTATGCATACGCCAAACTATACAAGGACAACCAGTTGTCGCCGTTAATCGACAATGTACGATCACCAATACTGTACGATGCTTCAATGGAGTGGAGAGGATATGGGAGACTGTTGGGAAATCCACACCACCGCCGCTCCTGCTTGTTGCGTGACGTTGGTTCATGTTTTGCTACTCGCTGGTAGAGCGGGGACCTTCCACGTCACAGCGGTGCTATGGTAGGGCGGGGGGACGAATCGACCGAGTAGCGAGCCGCCTAGAGTGATCGTATCCCGTTCATTTTCAACAGTCAGAAAAACTGGCCACTAGGCGGTGTGAACTGTAGCACGTGGGGCACAACGTTTTGCAGAGCATTGAATGAAACTAAAGTTTGGCTGTAAGCTACTCGACCGAGCAGCTATAACTGGGGTTCCCCCCTGTGTACAGTAGCGCTGCTCCTTGTGCCCATGTGCTCCAATCTCCTGAGCAGTCCCATCCCCACAAGAGCACGAATGAGACAACGCTCTGGGGGGCGGGCTGGTTGTTCGATCGATCCAAACCCAAAACCAGGTGGAGCAGCACGAGCAGCTGATGGGGGAGTTCGAGACCAACTACACCGAGTTCAAAAATCACTGCTTCGAGATGCAGCACAACTTCTTCAGGGCCGTCGAGGAGCACGAGGAGGGGTACTTCAACTCCTTGGCACAGCTCGCCCAGGTATTTCACCACGCACCGTACTCTTGGCCATGTCGCGCGAGACACCACCCCGCCGATGGTTCGAGAATGGAGAGGCCGATCTCTCGACGTTTGGGGAGAGAGGAGTTTGGCAAGGAAGCCTCAGCGCCGAAGCCTTGACGTTTGCGGTGGAGTTTTCTCTTCGAGAGCTTGCTTGCGACGGGTGGAGAAGTCCAACAGCCCAACTTGATGTTGCTTTGGCACCCTCCCCGGCATCAAGCAATGAATTCTCTCTTGGAAGCCCGATCGCCCGCGCGTTCCCGTGAGCAAAAGGAACTACGTACCCAACTGACACGTGGAGGTCCACACCATTCTTTGCAGAGGACTGCACACCAACCGCAACCAACTTCCACGTGCCGCGCCCCTTGCACCACCCCATCCCCACCATATGGCAGGACATGCTGGAGAAGATGGCGAAAAACGAGCTGCCCGATGACGCTCCAGACGAGCTGTCGAATCTTCTCATCGACAGAGATACTTGTGAGTTGAGAGCGATAAGGGCTTTACCTCTGTAAGTGGGCGGGTAAATGGCCAGCCGCGCACGTGTCCACACAATAAACGACGTCCTACGGATTGTACTCCGCTCTTCTCCCTGCATTGATTGCTGGGTATTAATCGTTTGGTTGATGTCTTGCCTTGCCGGTGTTCTTATGTGTTCAGGCATGAACATAGTCGTGGGCTCTCACGACATCCACGTGGGGAAGCTTCTGGGCCGGGAGGACGAGACCAGGGCGGCGGAGATCCGCGCCATGTCGGACATCATCGAGAGCCGACGGAGGGAGGAGAGGTGACGGACGGGATAAAAGAAAACGAAGAACCGCCCCGTGTTGACCAATGATTAGGAAAGGCAGCTAATTGCTTAGCATCCACGAGATGCAGCACGTACGCCTATACTCAGACAGACAAAACATTCCATGGGATCCAACCACATGTTGATATCTCGCGTGGCACAGTAATCCCGCTCCCTAACTTCGGGAGCCACCCTGAACCTCCCACCACTGCTCATAATCTGGCGTTGAGATGTACTATCCGCGCGGGTTCTAATAGCTGCGAGTTTGACATCCCAATGAGTCGACAGGACGAAACAACCATTGCGTCCAGTCCGGCTCTCAAGCCCCCAAGTCGTATGAAATTTGGAACAAAGTAGGCCGTTGGCGTTGGTGTGGTTGTGGCGGTTGTAGTCGATGTTGTTGTCGTGTGGTCGTCTTTCTCTGCAGGTATTGCCGTTAAACATCCGACTTCTTCGAGCGAATACCTCCCTCGGTGTTCCAACAGGCCTTTGCCAGACCTCTCAGCGAGCCGGCCGCTCCCCGAACCCCCCCCCTACCACCACCAACGAAAAACATAATGTTGTTCCCGTAAGGGCGAAGTACCATGTAGCACGTATTGCACGACGAATGGGAGCTGTAAAGTGAAATACCCAACATCGTGAAGTGTTGGAACCAATCAACCGGAATCAGGAAATGAACGGTTTCCTGACCGTTGTCCTTGACAATTGAAGTGATCAGTGGCCGATAGTCCACAGACCGTAAGATGCATACGCCGACCCCCCATCCTTCTCGCTCTTCGAGCGAGTGGCTCCCCGAAGCAGAGGGGGTGAGTTCGTCGACAGTGTAAACACACCGAACAAGTACGTAACCCGTCGCACAACCACCCGCCACACACGTGCTCCCACGCATACTCTGGCGTGTTGTCCGGCGGCGCCAACTTGTGTCTGAAAACTAAAAACAGGACCAGGAACAGAAATCGCATGCTGGAGCTGCGGGACTTCTTCGAGACGAACCGCCGCCACATCGCCGACTTGATCTCCAGCAAGCTGCTGGAGGACTACGACGAGGCCGACGGCATGTAGATTACGTAGACAGCCTCGCACACCGTGACCCCTCTCTGTGTTGAATATTGCCCCAAATGGGACCGAGGTCAACAGGGAGTGGCGGGAACGACGAGAGAGGCGCGGGCGACACTGTCTTCCCGTCATCCCACTTCAGGTTGGTCGTAGACGATGAGTTGAACGTCGATCCCAGTTTGGACGCAAGTGTGCACCTGATACTACACTTCCTACGCGGCCTTCCAAGAGCTCCGAACCGAGGTTGCGCGTGAAACGAGAGCCTCTCTGCGGCTTGCAGGGGTTGGATTGCCCTCAAGCAACTTTCGACGCCTTTCTTTTCCGGAACAGGCGCACCCTGTAGGACAGGTGACGAGGGGAACTGGGCTCCTGGCGTGCTGCCAACCACCCGGTATTTTCGATAACCTTGAACAATAAAAAAAAATCTTGAACAGCCGAACCCTTGGGACCTTTTCCAGCTAAGGTCTTGACATTGGCCGCCATCGCTACAGACTGCTGGCAACGTTGCCGTTTTGCTCTCTCTCATCTTCGTTGTTTTAGGGATTTCATAAGGGCAGCTGGCTGGCCGGCCCGCTGCAGAATTCACCTGGTTCCGCACAACCGTCTCTTCCCGTGCAGATCCGGGAAACACGAGCGCAGTAAGTCGAGATACGGGGTTCTCAACCAACGCTTCGGGTATGGATCCCTCTTCGGTAGGGTCCACTGTGCTTGGAGGTGTACGCGCATGTGCGGTCTACATTATATCACCCAGCTCCAGACACAGGCTTACCGCTCAATCGCCAAAGCATGCATTTGCCGGAGACTCTTCCCGGCAACGACCCCCTGGCAGGGCTGCAAAGACAGACAGCCACGCCGCCGCAGCAGCAGCCGCAAAACGCGTGTTGCTGAGTTGTTCGTGCACTTGACCCAAACCATCCTCATCCCAAAATCGAAGCACAAGAGGCGCATCGGAAGGAACAAAGTTCAACGACGGCCTATACCAAGGCGCAGCCTGATAGCCAAAACAGCCCTTAATAGTGCATGGAGTCTTAGATACGGGCTGGCTCTGCCTACCATCTGTGGGCCGAAAGAATCAATTTTCGAGTATCTACCAACCCGCAAGCAGTTGGAGCACACGCCCACGTGTTGGGGGAGGAGCATCTACTAACGCTGCCTGTCTGGTGTGCTGGTGAGATTTTAATCTCATCTGCATACAACATTATAACACCCGACAAATGAAATAAACGCTGCAAACCCCGGGCGCAAAATGAGAGCAACCAACACGTGCGTGTGCACTCCACCTTGCGTCCTACCGCACGGCATGCTTTCTCTGCTATCTTTGGGCGTGTTTGAGAGGACAACACAAAAAAAAAGCAAATGCTCGGGACTGAGGACTAAACAACACTCGAGTCGCACGTCAGCCGCGGTATCAAAGGAGAAGGTTGAAAACATAAGGTCAGCATCCACCTACGCGGCAAGTGTGCAGCCCGGAGACAAATCCCGACCACTTGTAGTTTGGACCTCAAGTCCGTGGCATGATTGTGGAGATAATTTGTGGAGATAATGGGGTTAATAACCCTAAACCCCGACCTTATTCACCCCAAAACAAAAAGGGCTCTAACGGTGGACCTAGAGAGAAATCGATCAATGGACCCTTGAAGCGACAAATGTCTGAGATGACTCTCTCATTCGCCCGCAACTCATCATCTATCTGTCTATTCGTCAACAGACCGGAGATCCTCAACATATCGATCTCCTACTCGTAGATCCAGTCCTGCATGGCGGACTCGTGGTCCACTACCTCCGCTTCCCCGAACCACAGAGCGATCTCCTTGTTCGCGTTCTCTATCGAGTCAGACCCGTGGCAGATGTTTCGCCCCACCTGGCAAGGTAGGGAAGGGGTGGGGCAAGGGGGCAAGGGGGGCGCGTTCATTTGTTGCCAGCCGTTGCCATTTCATACTTGGCCAAAGCATCCGTCTTGAGGCGAGGCACTGACAGTGCGTTTCGTTACATGGCCATGGTGAATATGCGGGTGATCGTCTCAACAGTACCCCAAGAATCAGCCGGAGGGGCGGGGGATGGGGGGGACCAGGTAGAGCGCATTCAGAACGACGGCTCTCCCCAAGTGTAAGTGAGATTCAAGAAAATGAACTCCGTCAGTGTTTCTGGTAAGAGAATCTTCGAGCGAGAATCAAGTATCCCAAGAATATCTCGGGGACGGGCGCTTTTCAAAAACGACGCCGGCGCGAAAAACTCGCGGAAGGGATAGCAAGACACAAAAGAACAGGTGCACACACACACCAAACACAATAACATAATTTTGAGCAGCTGCGAGCGGCAGCGGCAGACGCGTGAAGAGAAAGGCGTTTAGAGTAGATGAGAAAAAAAACATCCACATCCACAGAAACTGTCTTGACTCCCTTCCCCAAGTATAAGCCGTTGCTACCGAATCCTCTGTACAAACCACGGATATTCATCCCTTTACACTCGTCACCACCACCGTCACCACTACGGGTTCACACGGATCGTTGTAGTCATTGTGCTGACATGTACGACCTTACGACCACTGAGTTTACCACCGAAGGCACCGCAAATATTTTTTGTAAATCGGCATATCCCTTCGTGGGGTTGCCCCTCGAGTCTTCTATCAGACAACGGTTCACAGTTTTGCTCGAAACTGCAGCAAGCCACCTAAAAGCGTCTAGCGAGGCTGCTGCTGCTGCAGCTGCTGCAGCTGCTGCCGCTGCTGCTGCCACTACTGGTCCCATCACCTCCAAGCAGAAGTCTCCACGGATGGTCCCCGGTGCGCTCGCAAGCGGGTTGGTCTCTCCCAGCATCTTGCGCCCCATCGCAACCACGTCCTTGCCCTCCCAGGCCATACAGACCACTGGCCCCGAGATCATGTAGGCCAGCAGCTTCGGGAAGAATGGCTTGTCGACGAGGTCCCTACGTCAGGGGGCGGGGGGGGGGGGGGTACGCATGTAAACGCATGCTGTAGTGGTTAGACCGTTTACCTCGCATCCCTACAAGGCCGGGACGGGGCGATGCTGCTGTATGCCGAGTTTTTCTCCGGCCAAGGCTACGTTTAACACGGATACATCACAAGCTGGTCATCATCTTCATCCTTGCGTGTGCTGTGCCAAACCAGATGTGCCATGAGTTTGGTTGGAGGGGGCGAGGAACTCGATGTTTTCCCCATCATCTCGTCATTTCGTTCGAGACGAAGGGTCACCGCCGTTTCCTCCTCTCTCCTAGGTGACGATAGAGGCGCCTCCCAGACTCGGGTGCTCCTTTCGACCTTCCGATCTATGTACATAGCTAAGCATGCACTATTTTGGGCCAATTCAGCCCCAGCCTTTTGCTGCACGCGTCGTGGCCGCGCCTGCAGTCTCGTAGGTAGGGTAGCGATGAATTGATCGGGTTTTTTCCAGTGCTCGCAAAAAAATCGACCGGCAGTCAAACTGCTTCCAAGGAAAGAGGTCTCGGATCCCATACACGTCAGATCAGGCCACGGTGAGACTTGCAGTACGTTAAAATGGGACCAAATTCTTACAGTCAGGCCAGCGGTGAGATCGCAATACGTGAAAACGGGACGATGGCCTTCTTACCCTGTACCGTACTTGGCTAAAATCCTGAACCTCCAACACTACAAGCGGATTCTCCTTTCTCCCAGGGAGTCAGAGCCAACGACAACGTTACTGCCGTGCCCCACGGAAACATCGTGAAAACACGGGTCACGTTTCGACAATATCCCCACGTACAGTATTCACCCAAGTCTTCTAGAACGTTGCTTCAGCTCTCTCTGCGTTTTCTCCAGGCGGCACTCACTTGTAGTGCTTCTTGAGCAGGGCTTCGTCGGCCTGCTTGAGCTTGAGACCCGCGAGCTTGTACCCGCGCTCTTCGAACCGAGTGATGATCTTTCCGACAAGGCTGTGGCCATGGCAGCAAAGAAGCGAGAGAACCACAAGGGTATCAAGATAGGTCGTGGAGGCAAGATAGGTCGTGGAGGACGGTAATAATCGTTTTCTCACGACAACGCACGAATTCAGCACGCGATTTTGTGCGGTCCAAGAACGAAATTCTGGAGCGGAGGCTTCGGCCACGCGTTTGCTGCTGGGCTTGGTCGTCATCCCGCCCAGTGGGAGACAACGTGAAATACGGGCTGAGATAATCAACAGCTTATCAGAATATACAACACACACATGAAAGATCTGCCCTAACTTCAGTTGCAGAATGAGGTTTGTATTGCTGTCCGCTGGTTGATATATCATCGGTAGACGCCACGCTTTGCGCCAACTGCGGACAACAGAGCGAGCGCTAGCGCAACGACTCGTCGTCCTACTATTAATAGGCCGTTTGAGTGTGCCCCAAGACTTTCGTACGGCGGCGACAAAACGAAAAGCGCGAACTCTGCCAAGAGCTTGGTACATACCACGTATGCACGTAAGTGCACGTACATAAGAAGGACGAAAAATCATCCGAATCTCTCCTTCGCATCGAGAAGCACTTGGATTTTTTTTTTTTTCTCCTATCATCGGATTCTGTCGTCTGCCCCACTGGCCCCTATCCTCCACTTCTACTAGCTAGACGACCCAACTGGGGTCACATAGGAGGGGGGGAGGGGGAGCCCCTCCTGCGGTTCCTGCCTGAGGTATTTTTTTCGCGAGAAGGGTACAGCAATCCCTTCCCTCGCGACTAACGAAGTCGATTAAGGTTTACTAACAACGAGTTTTGCAACGCGTCGCTTTCATCCTAGACCAGGATATCTTTAGTGAGAAAAAAACTCACTCTGTCGGGACTCGAACCAATGACCTGGAGTCCGGAAGGATATGAAGTTATCCCCTAGACCTCCGGGGTGCAAGGACACTTAAATGGGTGTAAAAGATTGTCTCTCTGATCAAGAACCTCACACTGACTTGGATGGGGTGCAAGATGCGCATTTCCCGCTAAGTACATCAACTGCTGTACAATGAAGACAGTGTACCTAACACGCAAGATATACCACCGGCGTGACGCGCACACCACATCAGCAATGGTGGAGTGCCATCCGTGCGCACACGCGGCAACGATGTTCGCGGCGTCAGGGTCGGCCACACGACAAAAGCGATATCCCAAAAAATCGTAGATATGGGTGATGCCTGTTCTGAACTACATGACGTTGGGTGCAGACATAATTCACAGCAGTTGCAGAGAGAGGGGGAGAGAGGGAGCACGGCACCATGACACACACCGCCAGAGAGCTGTCATACAAGCGTGGACGCAAACGCTGTGCTGGTTGCTGTGCAGCACACGGCCGGTTGACGTTGTATACCAGGAGACCAATGACCAGTCCACTGCGACGTGTAGAGGTTTGCGACAGACTCGAACACAGCCGATTCTTTAGCAGCATCTCCTTTACACGACCTGCCCACGGCTCTCACCCTCGCTGTACGCCGTCCGGCTTGATCATGATGTACGAGCGCTCCATGGCCATGGTGGGCCTGCTGACCGCCGATGGTGCGGTGGTCGCCGAAACATGAGCGACCCCGCTTCCGCTTGCAAAGGCGCTGCTGGAGGCGGTCGGTACCACGAAACCGAGCGCAGCCGGGAGGAGGGCCACGAGACCGCACAGGAGAGTCTTCGCCATCATCTGAGCTTCGTGTGAACGAGTATTAGATAGGATAGATATTAAAGGGCACTGCTGCACTGCTTGCTGTGTGTGCTGCCCCAGACCGACCGTTCGGGGGGATTCCGTTTGACGGTCTCCTGAGGCAACCTATGTGCGCACATGTCCATTTTCCGATCTGTCAAGCCCCACACGCAGAGTAGACGGCTGCACTCACGCACTGCTGCTGTCTGCGGTCACGTCAGACAAGCTACAACCACAACCAAGAGAAAGAGCTGAGAGAGGAGCACCAAACGAAGAGACCGCGAGAGGGAGTGGGACAAGCCTAACAGCTTCGATAAGAATAGGCCAGGGACGAGGCCATCGACGACGGAGAACGAGGTTAGACAGAGAGGGAAGTGTAAGCTCGCCCGAAGACGGAAAGAGAGACAGTGTCGTCGTCGTTTCTCCCTTGCTCTTTGTCGAGCACTTGCTTCGTTGACGGCTGGAACAAAAAGTGCGGCTACGCTCGTGCGTGCCTTAAGGCTTCCAACCGAGATGTCGGAAAAGAGCTCGGATGGCGCTGGTGACGAGCGACAAGCCACGGCGGCGGGCGCTGCTGCTGCTGCTGCTGCTGCGGGAACCCCAGCAGCAGGCATCGTAAGTCAGCAGCAGCTGCGTCCACTGCCTCGACACTCGCTCTACAACACGAAGCCGTCCTCCTCACCTACGGCCGCCAGAACCGGCGGCAGCGAGAGCGAGAGCGACATCCACGAGAAAACGCAACGGGATCAGCAGCAGCAGCAGCAGCAGCACCAGGATCAGGATCAGGATCAGTATCAGTCAGGGTCCGACGAAGTAAGCACCGGCGGTGTGCCCCCCGCTGCCGCGGATCAATCGGAAGCAGCAGCATCAGGAGCAACGGAGGAGGAAGAGGAGCAGATAGTGATCCACCTACAGCTCATACCCTGCTCGGCGTGCGCGGCGAGCGCTAGCCTCGCCCACTGCCTTACCGCCAGGGACAGGAACGGGGACCACCACACGCCCAGGCTCAGGGTCGTGAAGGGCAAGGCGCTTCGGAAGCGGTCGAAGGCCCTCCTGCTTCCAGGGGAGAGGGAGCCTCCGTTGGGTGCGGAGGACGGCTCGATGGAAGACCTCCCGCTGACGCCCGAGAATATGTCGCTGCTGTGAGGACAAAAAAATTAAAGAATTGGGAGTACTGCTTTTTTTTGCCCGTCTTCCAAACCGCCTATTACAACTGCTGTAAATAAATAGTACATTCATGACGAAAATATACACGCCCCGAGACGCGTTTGCTCCGCAACTACATAGGGAATAGACACCCGACAAACCGAGTTCCCCTAAATCTTCCGTCTACATCTTCCCAACACAACATACAGATAGATACACAAGATGGCTACCAAACTGCCTTGTTGAGCCTGTTACCCACAGGGAAGTTATCGTTGTATGCTGTCTGGGAAACTGTAGACATACACGTAGCCTTTCGCTCACGTTATGGATTAATTGCTAATCTCAGATTTATCTCCATAGATAGAGATGGATTTGTGTGTGATATTAAAGAAAAAAAAAAATGTGTTTGGGTCTAGAGCCTTGTAGAGCCAGCTTTTTGTCATGAGGAGAGGTTTCATGCACGAAGTCACTGCTACTGCTGCACACCCCCCGCGTCCGTGTCCCATGGGGGAACCGTGGTGGGGGTCGGTGTACCGCTTTTTAGGCTAGGTGAACGAACAACCCATCTCCCGCGTGATTTGATACTCTACCATCCACGGTGTTGAAGAAGAACTTTACTTTTAATTTCTCAACATTTTGTGCATACATGTACATCCAGGGTTTCACGTCCTCGCAACTTTCCGATGAACGCAGCACCGAAGAAAGTGCGTGGTCTGCGCATGCATAGGGTCGGCCAGAAAGACTTTCACCCAGCCCCTTTCGACTGCCTTTGTGGTTATATCTCGAACGGGTAGTCCTGTTTTTTCTTGATATGACCGGACGAATCCATCTCTAGAAGGAAGGTATCAAGATGGATTTGCAATGAGTTCTTTTGATTGTGTATCGTATTTCCTAGTGCAGCGCTGAGCGCTGAAAGCCCACACCCCACATCCGTATACGGTCTCGTTTTGTAAACCATTTTTAAGTGTTTTTTACATGTTAAGTCTGTGACCAGGTCAGGAATATAGCATTGGGTAGCGAGACCGGAACGGTTTTTAATGTGAAGGCAACACCACAAACAAGATGAGTTTTTTTTCTTTTCGCTTGAAGCGAAAACACGAGCACGGGTCTCTCCTCCGGTCTGACTGACGATGCCATCTATTTAATAGCGGTTGCACATGCTGTTGCGCGTTCTTCCTGGCCGGCAGCGTGTAGAGACAAACGACATTGCTCACTTTTATCCTCCTCATGTTCTTTGAGGAATTCTTGCGCATGTTCTACACATGAAACAACGATTACCCGTTGAAGGGATGTGTTGAAGTCTTAACCCTAACTACTAGGCAAGGTTGAGGGACAAAAAAACTGCGAAGGCTACTGCTGTGAGGGACAGACACCTGTAGAGGAACTCGACTTCTTTGAGTCTATTTGAAGCAATACACGTCTTGGAGGACTTGTCTGGGGTCCATTTTTAATGTTTTGATTCCTCTAAAGGTGTACCCCCTTTGTGGGGGGAGTTTGCTTGTGACAAGGGAAGGTGGCCGCGTCAGTTAGACCATTAGAACATTGGGAGGTAGAGAGAGAAGACCGGAACGGTATTTTTATGTCAAGACAACAATGACAACAACACTGAGGAAGCAAATGTCGATGATGCACTCGAGTTCCCTCGTCAGTTGCAAGTCCTCTCGCACCGAGAGAAAGAATTGGTGCCAGCCGGAATACAATTTTGTCTTTTCGATTTGAATATTGTGCAGTGTGTAACCCACAAGTCACGCCTCAAGCATATTATTGTATTGGTATCAAGTTGGCTCATCTGACAGAAAGAAAGCAAAAGCAGCGTGAGCACGTGTATCCCCGACGTGTTTCCGTTGGGATAAAGTTCAAAGAAATACCTGATGATTGTTTTTGGGCTCAGGCGCTTTCTTACGCTGTGATTTTTTGGGGTGTTGGATTTTGGGGGGGGGGGGGGGGG